CAATCTGTGGTTTCTCTTAACAAAATAACTATTTGTACTAAAGACACAGACCTTTTTTAAAACTGAATACAGGATTTGTGGGTATATTCATCCCAGATTGGACCAATTCATATCAAACAGTTTTCACAGTTTCACCTCATGTCACTGATAAACCGGAGACTGGAGAGTACACTGAATCCTGTATCCTCTTGGCTACTTTGGATCTTTGCAAGTGTGACTGGGTGTTTAGGTGGTAACTTTCTAGCCGACTCTCCTGGGGCAAAGTTACAGCACAGATGGGGCAATAATTCATGAAGGAGCTAAGGAGGAGAGACACACTCCAGCAAAAAAAAAAAATACAGCAGGTCTGGCAACCGGAAAGCTCTTTGGGTTAGTGCCAGCACCACAGTCAGCCTCAAGTGATGCCACCTCCTCTCCTTGGCCTCAATCAGGCAAAGGGCCAGAGGACACCTGCCCACCTACTGGTACTGTTACCGATGACTGTCTGTCACTGTTCTGTCTGATCATCTTTCTTACTGTTTTCCTCTCATTGTCAACATCTTTTTATATTTTTCTGTATCCTTCTGTCTCTCCCTGTGCTTCAACACGGCTCTTTACTTCCCCCTCTCCTCTGCCTCTATTCCTTCATTCCTCTACTTTATCATTGAGATGTGGATGTGTTTGAAAATTGCAACTGTAAACTCAACAGCTGTAAAGTGACTACTTTGAATTAATTACATCAACAGGTCAACAGGAACTAAATACACTATAAATATGTACACCACCCTAGAACAATCAGTAATAACTTTATTTTGACTGATCAGCCCCTTTTGACTGGTCAGTGTTATTTTAAAATGTTGAAATACTTCATTTCCTATACTTTCATCAAACTCTGACCTCGGTTTCATCATGGGGGATAATAAAAGTAAGGCTCTTCTGCAATGTCTATTAGTGTGGAGAAGCCACATCTCTGTGGAGAATGCCTAATGCAAAAAAAAGGAAGCACTTATAGACCTTATGTTTTGTCTGCAACAGCTGTTATCTGTCTGACACAGTATCCTATACATCTACCATGAGGAAAAAAGAGGTTGCAATGACTGGTTTTTGCAGAAAATGTAAATCTGAATATTGAGATTATGAGAATAATCATAATGAGAAAAATTTGAACAGGATGTTTTTTGAAAATATATGGTACTCTTGAGATATAGTAATTATGTTTTAAAATATTCTGTTGCTAAGGAAAAACAATGCGATTTCAATTCTCTGTGATCAATCTAAACAATGGAAATAAACTGCTTTTGGCAGTGACTATGCCTAATCCCTAGTGTGTTATAACTTGTTGACTCTGATTCAGTCAACAACTTGTCTGCTCAGCTGTGAGGAAAAAAACCAAAACCACTGGAGCCATAATCATCCCCGTCTCAGTCTCACTCTGCTCCTCTCGCTCTGTGACCCATTTCTGGATCTTCTCCCTGCTGCTCAACTGTACAATTACGGAACAGACCTGGGACTCAAGGATACACTGGTTGAGTTTCAACAAAAACAGGATGCTTATCAAGGCGTTGGCCTTCAGACACACACACTTGCACATTTTTACTGACATATGCACCCCCTAGCTACCTAACCTTAACCATTGCAACTGCTTCACCTCAACCCCTATCCTAGCCTTTGACCTAAACCTACACCTTTAACAAGCTCTTTGCAAAAGTGAAGGCCAAACAAAATGCACACTTTACAATATCTGCAATCTTAAAGTGTGAAATTGAGCATACACACACAGACCTCACAGTTGCGCTGCCAGTAAAAAAAAAAGACACACAATATTCTGCATCTCAATCACACACTTTTGCACAATTTGCACGATTGTCGTCTCACTGATGTTTCCATCAAGCAGCCACACTGCACTGTGTGTTAACTTGTTTGTTTAACTTGACACAGACACACACACACACACACAATTGTGCAATACACTTTCTTCTAGATAAGAGCTGTGACCCCTCTTCCTGCCATGAGATAAGACAATGACTGACGATCATGATACAGAGAGAGACAGAGAGACTGAAAAGATTAGTTATGACTTTTGTTCTCAGATTAGCACAGAACGAAAAATGGATACCCCACCCACTTCCTATAATATACGGTACTCCATGGACTAACTGACACACAGCTAAAATAAATAGTCTGGTGTTAAGTAAGACATATTTGCTGCGATCTCTCCCTCTCACAGAACATTCCCACCCATCATCTTACACACACGGACGTGATTAAGATTCCACAAGGCGTCCAGATGCCAGAGTACTCCCAGACTCAACACTGCTTCCTAAACGTTAGCGTATTAGGATTGATTTATTAAGTTACATGTCCCTTTTCACAGCCAAAATTACAAAGTGCTGTACAAATTGAAAGCACAAATTGTACAATGAGTCATTCAGCCATTCAGAGCGTTTGTCACATCCCATGGCTAATGAGCAAAGTTTTGCTGCAAGGTCCCTCAAGCCCATGAAAATGATATTAACCCAGATGAATAACAAAAGAAATTCGAAACAGAAGCGTCTTTCTGTGTAGTCATTTATGAAAGTCTCTGCATCCTCCCTTGTGGGTTACACTCTAACGGCAGGTGTTTTTTCTACCACACTAAACAACCCAGTTGAACTTTCACTCGGGTTTCAGTAAACACAATTTAGAACCTTTCTTGCACATCCAGTAGGTCTGAGTAGAATCCATATTGGCTAGACAGTTAAACTTCTTATCTTTGATTTAAGCCTGCTTCACTTTTACTGCCAGATGAACTCTGAGGTCACTGTAGCTCTTGGATGCAGTTCTGACCCCATTCCCTTTCCTGTGTTTGCTGATTCTTACAGAGCCTCATCAGAAATGTTGGGGGTTTTACTGTGAATGTCACAGACTGAAATATCATACAAAGTACATTCAGGACACTGGTTTTCATACAAAATGACTCTGTGGGCCCATATTTATGGAGGTATCTGAAGGTACCTTTTTCAAACAAGTGATTTCTACAGCAAATTGGTATCACATTAAACAAAAGAAGAAGAAGAAACAGGAAAAGCTGTTATATTATCTGTTGTGTTTCCAAGTCTCTCAGTTGTAACATTTTGTATTTATGAGAAAACTGATGGTGACAGAAAACTCAGAGAGATTCATATTCAGACTGACAATTCTGTTACACAGCAGGTATGAAAACATCCATCATTTCTGTAACGCCAACACAGTAGAGAAGATCTGAGCTTAAGCAACACAAACACTAGTAGAATCAATAGCACTCTGTTTAGAGATGTTATGGTAGCAACAATCCAGTTTTCTCCACGGTGGAAAGACATTTTAATAAAACAGCTTTATGTGGGACATAGATGGTGTATTCAACCACGAGTGTTGACATAATTAAGAGGGTGTAGGCCGTAGTATCAAAGCATTAGAGTGATGATTGTGTTTCAAGCACTGAAACTATAAACACTTCTGAGAAAACAACTCTGTGGAAGAAAGCAGAGATCTGGTCCCACTGGCATCACAGCAGCTAAAATGGTGTCAATCTCACTATCGTCAAACTGCGGTCACTATAAAACCATGTCGCCAAGGCTCCATTCCAAACATCGCTTTGTTGAACGACTGCTCTTATATTAAACACCTGAGAGAGATGGGAATAAACACCACTCATACTGATTGATGAATATAATATATACAAAGGACTCGGACTACTTGTCCTAGAGTCACTGCTGCACAGACACGTACTTTGTAATTCCTGTAGAGTTCCTGCTAGATACATTTTTATTGTCAGACTGTAAACACACACACACACACACACACACACACACACACACACACACACACACACACACACACACACACACACACACACACACTCACACACACACACACACACACAAAATACAAAAAGGTCCTCCTATCATTCTTTATCCATGGCCTCTGCTTTAGTTTAGTTTAGTTTATTTGACAATAGAAAGCAGGATAGCACTACAATGGCAAGGACTTATTTCCATTGTGGTCACTGATAGCTCTGCGGCTGGCGTGGACTGATATTTGATACTGATAATTCACAAGCGGCAACCCATTTTATAGCACATTTATTTTACCACGACCGAGTAGCTCTGTTTTTGAAAGGCCACTCTAAACCAAGAAATATTCCCAAGGTGAAACAGGGCCTCCGTTTACTGAGGACAACTGGGAAAAATCTCACATTTCACCTTAGATATGATGTAGAAATAACAAAGGGGGGGTTATGACAGTACACAAGGTTGCAGGAAGGATTATATATCTGACATAATCTTGTCAAGTGAGTTAAGACTCGCAACATCATTAGCATCATGTTTCCAAGGTCACAAACGCTTGTGAGAAAACAAGTCATCTTCTCCACTGATACAGTAACTATTAATCACCATGGAATAAATATTTTAGATGGAGCATAAATATTTTTACAAGCGAGACTTTACTGCTTGAGTTTACCACACCCCTCTCTCTTAAACTTGTTTTTTTCTTCTCTCTCCTCCCTGTATGTTTGTCTTAGTTTCTTTCTCACTTTCCATTTCTCTCTTTTAACTCCCCTTCATTTCCATCCAATCCACACTGCACTCTCTACTTACCCAGACCACACCACTTGAACCTTCATGTAATGACATATCATTTTGAAATGAGGCTCTCTGAGGGGATTGGCAAATGTTTGGATTGGAGCCAAGTTCTATAAATTGTGACATGTCTCCAGTGTTGAGCGTTGAGTGCAGATATGTGGCAAACAGAACAAACACAGTGTAATAAATGGGTCAACGCTACACAACTCAACTGAAGATGATTAAGAAAACACAGAGGAGGGGGGAGGAAAGTCTGCTCAGGAAATAGATAACAGACCTCCTTCAAGTTGTTTGACTGTGTGTATTAATCCTCCGGTACTGACAGCAGCGTGGGTGTGTTTATGTCCCGGGCTTACATGAACAGTAACTGTGCTAACTGTGTATGTTTGTGTCTGCATGTAATATATGTTTGCCTCCTACCTTCAGTCTCAGTGTATGTGGCTTCAGGTGAGGGAGTGTCCTGGCCCCAGTCTCCTGCAGTGCCGATCTGTACAACCAGGAGCCGCTTTAGTGGCACCAGGTCAGCATCTTTGAGACCTGTCTCTAAATGATGGACAATGCCCTTCCCTGGCTGGCTGGTCACCACAGTAACCTGGGAATATAGTAAGAGGAAATGCAAAAATGCCTCAGTAAACAGGAAACAAAAAGGACTCAAATACAAATAGTTTACAGTGACATCCCTGTGCAGAATGGATGGATCCATCTGGAGGAGCACAAGGTTCAGTGTAAGTGGAGCTTCCACACAGGGAAATCTTGACCGCCCTGAGGCAGTAGAAGCTGTGAATCTTCAGCATTTAGGCCGGTAGCTGTAAAGGTGGCTTGTGTTTTATCGACTGACTGATTGATCGCTTTCATTAGGCCCTACTGCAACACAGCTTAATGTTTCACTGGGGCCACACCAACATTCATATTCCACTATCTTAAGTGTTCTCCATCCCACTACTTTGAAGCAAACCAACACTGCTGCTCTTCCACAACCACACTTAACAACCTCTGTCACTTTTAATTGTATTGTTATCAGGCCACATTGATGTCCCTCCCCACAACTGTTCCCCAGAAGCATACTTTTGAATTGTTCCAGCTGCATCATGAAAGTTTGTTTTACAAGTTGTCACATCTACAGAAGTGCAGGACACAAAATCACCACAACAAAGCATTCCTGGGCTCTGACTGTAATGTTTCTGAGTTTGGGGCCATGACATACAGTGAATTACAGTCACTAAATTAAGTAGACAGTGCCAGAAATGTTGTCTTAGTCCCAGTAAAGCAAACTCCCACCCTAACAGAAAAGTGGCACGCACATATGTAACAATGACACAAATCTACACTGACCCACTTTATGAGAAAAAACTCGGCTTTAACTGTCCTTTTGCTGTATGAGCTGTAATTTTAAAGCTTTCTGTATCTGGAGCCATCATCATCATCATCATCATCTCACTGTCATGACACAAATGAACAACACTGCTGGTTATGGACTGCAAAATGTTATTTTTAGTAATCCATTAATTTTCTGATAATTAAGATTTCTGCAGAACATTTACACAAAAGACAACATCTTCCTGATGATGAGAGATGAAAATAGTTTGCATAGGAAACAGATAAACTAATGTTAGGCTGATAAGTGTTAAGTGTTAAGCACCCGACTGAATCACATTAACAGTAGCAGTAAATGATGATTATAATGTGATTATTGATGTGATCTGCTCTCTGCTTCCTGCTGTTTAGCCAAAAGTAGAATCTGTTGCTGACGCCTGATGCACATCATCAAGGAGGACACACACACACACACACACACACACACACACACACACACACACACACACACACAGTGCCATGTCTCTGCTTAATGTCGCTCTGCCTCCTAATAGTGCTATTCATATCTGCTGCTGTCGGAAACAGTGGGTCTTAGTGAAATCATCTGTCCAGAGCTCCCCAATAAAGCTGGCTGGATTTGAGAAATCCTCATCAACGACCCAGAGCCTTGTATCCAGAGGACACGCTGTTCAAATTCAACAAGAAGGGCAGTGACTGGCTCATGCCTCAACTGGCTCCCCATATGTCCAACACTTAAATTTAACAAATGAGACACTTTCAATAATGTCAGCTAATATTCCTCTTCCTCTTAACTGTAATTTGCTGACATCAAAAATGTTGTATCTGAGTCTCAGGTTTTGAGCCCGGAACTGGAGTATTAGCCTAAAGCTGGCTTTGAGTTACATAACATGAATAAGAATTAATAGTTCCATAAAATGTGCTGCATCCAAGTCGCAGCTATGATCTTTTATTGATGTCAACAATTCTATCCACTTCAATCATAATGAAGCGATGTGCATAAGCGAGTGGAGACAGATTACACTAGGATTTGCAATTGTTTAAAAATTTTGTACACTCAATGGATTTGCGTGTTAGAGGTGATAGCTGATTGGATATTCTAGCAGGAAGGCACTAAGAACTTCTGAAGCTTTTCTCATGTCAGTTTTGCAGCTCTTTCTAAACAGGTGGTTCCGCAGCAGATGAGAAAGACACATTTGAAAATGTACATGAGCTGGTTTTAATTGGACTGTCTGATATGAGATGTGAAGAGTTCTCAGCCACTAAAATGGACTGTTAAAGCTTTTAACAACATGCTAATGAGATTCATAATTCACTATGTTTTTTTGTAGTTGCTAAATACAGTGAATTGTACCTGAAGAGAGCTATTTAACAGGTATAAGTGGAGCCTCTTCACTACATTAGCATGAAGTACAAAGCTTGAATATTAAAAGGGATCTATTCAGTAGAGCTAGTCTGCAGCTGAAGAGGTGGATATAAAGAGATAAAAACAGCCAGATATTTGGAGGAAATTACTTCATAATCAATAAAGATGTGCAAAACTGACAAAGCGGTTTCTGTACTGTGAGCTATTGTTATCTAATTCCATGTTCAGGCTGATGTAGTTTTACTGTCCTAGAGACAGACATGCCTCTGTTGTTTCAGGACAGCTTGCGGGGATGGAGCTCAGTGCGATTACTGTTCTGTAATGTTATGACCTCACATACTGTGGATGAGGAAAACTGAGCTTTTGTTTATGTACATTAGTAAAGTTACGGAAACAACTTTTTTTTTAGCCTAATCCTTTCTGGGATCTATCATTTTCAATTTCAATATAGCCAATCACACAGCATTCAACTGTATTTATGTTATTCACAGCCCAGGAGGTACTGTTTGCTTTGTTAACATTTTAACTGTATTTCCATGTAGCAACTGATCAAGCAGCACTTTAACATTAAGTAAAGCTTTGTGACAATAAATGAACAGACGTTGAGTCACAGTGAGTGAATGACATTTACTCTCAGTACTCTATTGAACAACGGTTTAAAAGCCTCCTTAAACACACCAGCTTTAATTTTGTTTGAAGAATTATGCCAGACTATGATAGACTAACTTTCACAACCGTTTATAGTCAACCTGAGACGCATGTCTTTAAAAACTCATCAGCATCATTCATGAGACTGTACTTCTGTGCTTGAGTTGTAGCATGTGCTGTTGCTTCTATAAGCACGAGCACAATTAGAAGCCACAAAGCAAATAACTCACCAACACAAATATCTTTCTTTTAGCCATGATTTTAATGAGAATAACAGGGGAACTGAATGTTTTCGTTATGCTATTTGTGCACAAACAAGGTCAATCTATGCTCACCTCCACAGATGTGTTGTTGCTGTTGACCTGGTTTCCAGTGCTGGTATGCCTGATGTACTGTTTAAACTGTTGTAGACTGTCCAGCACTGCCTGACGCAGCAGCTCGCCTCCTCTGGCTGCTCCCCTGACACAGCCTTCACCTGGAATAGACCTCAGCTCCTCCACACAGGAGTGCAGCCTGGCCAAATTACCACGAACCTGCTAAAAGTAGAGAGGGGAAGAAGAGAAAAAAGGGATAAAAGTGAGAGATAATGTGGGTGACAGAAAACAACAAAAGGAAGAGGGGTGAGAGAGAAGGTGCAAGAAAAAACACTAATAGAAAAGACACATTCCTTTTTAGAAATACTTCATCTATCTTACCACAAATGGCAGTAGGCATTCCTGCTGCCGGCTGATGGCGTACAGACTGAATAGCGGTATCCTACATGGTCCATCCAGACTACAGGCCAGGGACAAGAAGTTATCCAGAGCATCACAGAGCACCGTACAGGTCTCTGACCAACATGGAGGCAGTGCCTCCACGATCAGGACCCTGGCTGGTTGCCGCCGGAATGATGAGGAACAGAAAACAAAGTTCCCAGAGTTGGAGGAAGCTGCTGGCCTCTTTCTGTTGTCCATGGACATCTGAAAACAGGAAATAGAAAATACTATGGTACTCAGTGACAAAGAAAATGGTGAAAGGTATAATGAAAACATCTGAAGCCAGATTTCACCCCAGATGGTAGAGGTAAACAAGCACAAAAATATTCTCAGATGTTTACAAAATATCAAATCGAGGTGAATATGTAATGATTATCCATTGCCCTGTAATGATAATCACATCATGCAGTCAACAATATTTATTAAAAGTATTTTAGCTAAAGTCCTGATCATCTCCAGTAACCTCTACCATAGATAGAATATGAATAAATAGGTTATGATGAACATGGAAAATTATGTAATAATCTGGGTTATAAGTAGTTTGGTTTTCACATAAATCAGGGGCTTTTCCTAACATCTGAGGCTGTTACCAGTAAAGTAGGTTTTGTGCAATAATGACTCAAAGATGGGGTTGGCTGAGAGACGTAGAGAAACCATCTGCAGATCAGAAAGTTCTAAGGCCAGGGACAAGAAGTTATCCAGAGCATCACAGAGCACTGTACAGTACTGTCCTCTCTGCATATTGGCTAATGCATATGCAGAGAGGACAACATATTTTATCCTGGGGTGAACATTCTCCCTCAAGTGGTCAAGTTCCCTGAGAGTTTAATACACAGAGCTGACTCTCACTTTGTGGTAAACGAGCTGAGTTATACGTGATAATTAGACATGTGACTGAGGGCTGATAACATGTTATCATGTTATCATGTAATATTGATGACATTGTAGATACAGGATAAACACAGAGAATCAGTGTTGTCAAAAGTAATATGGATAAAATGGAGCATATACAGAGAGCTGGGTTTACTAACAGTGCTGTATCAATACTAATATTAGGACTGCAACTAGTGATTATTTCTATGAATCTGAATCTTTTTAAATTAACACATCAATCAATTGTCCTAAAGCATGAGGTGACATCTTCAAATTGCCAATTACTCCATCTAGACACTATCATCATCATTACTGAAGGGAAACTCCCTATTTAGCAACGTCATTGACCCCCTACTTTAGTCATTTCATTCCACCTGAATGGATGAGAACAAGGCAACAGACTACGCTTCAGTTTCCACAAGACTATGACACACGTTTTGGTGGCTTTTTGTCATTTCATTAAGGTTGCTTTGAGGAACAATTCATAGCTGTAGACCAGTATACTAATGTACAGATAACAGACTGAAATACTAGGTTGATTAAGCAATCAGTCAACTGACAAAAAATGACAATTTGATAATAAATGATTTGTGTTAATCATTTTTGAACCACATATTCACTAATCACTACTTCTCAAATATGATAATACAATTTTTTATATCACTGTAAATGGAATATCTTTGGATTTTGGATTATTGGACAAATATGCAATTTGAAGATGTCACACTGGGCTTGTGGAAACTGCAATCAGCATCTTTCACTATCTTTAAAAAAAAATTATAGAATAAGTTATTGGGACATAAAAATAAACAGATTAATTAATAATGAAAAAAATATTACTTACAGCCCTTAACTTAATAACCATGAAGCATAATACCTCAGATCTCTAATCCAATACCTAAACATAACTATTTATGTGTATTTACTTCTAACCCAACTACTTTGGAGCAGGGACGCTTCTTCACAGTGGTTGGTTGGAACTAGACTGGCAATAGCATAAACACAAGCAAAAAGCTTTAATCTGCCTGTGTCCAAGGTCTGGGTAGTGCATTTCTAATTTTGTTTACAAATTCCCTTTCGTATTTGAGTGATGAATTAATTTAAAGGCGGATGGAGTATTTCAGCTTTCTGTCATCATGTTGCCATGAATCTGCCACTGGGCCTGCTTCACATGATTTGTCTGTGACAGGGTTTAAACACACACACACATCCACAAACACTATCATATTGGCCTGCTGATGCCCGCAACTAAACGTCGACCAAGGTACCAAGTCTCATAAGAAACACCTGAAAGCCTGGACTCAGAGAGGAATCAGAGTAAAAACCACTGACAGAACTAATCCTGTACTATTGAAATCTGAGCTCTGAGCACTCTTTATCATCCAGGCTCTGAGATCCACTGTCCTGATGTAAGTTGGCAGAAATGTGTTTGTTTTTAATTCTGGATTTGATTTTTGATTTCCTTATGGGTTGATTATGTTGAGTTATTTGTTTATGTTGCATGATTTAGTTGTTGCATGAGTTGTTTTCTTGATACTTTATTATTATTGTGTTGTGTGTGTTTTTTTATTGATGTGTGTTTTTTTTGACATTTCTGCCATTGAGCCCCTGGACTGAGACAGTGGAAGTGGGTCAAATTAGCTCAAAGACTTTGCACCTGGTTAATTGGACAACTCGGCTCTCAGCCAATCGAAGGAGAGTACCTCCATGGACAAGGGGTTTGGCTTGAGAGGGGTGAACAGCTTTTTTTACAGGTAGAGTTTGGAGGAAGACAGTCGGGACACAACGAGACGGCGGAGAAGTTCGGCCGCTGGGAACAGAGAGATACAACAGCCGTGCAGACCAGATCGCTCGACTCAGGAAGGAAGCCGTCAGTGCCGTGCGCGCTACAACTGCAGTGGAGGAGAGTAAAATCTCCTCCTTCGCGGTGAGTAAGAGAACGAACCGGCACTGTGAACGGCACGAACAAGGACCGTGTGTTAATTGTCTGTCGAGAACGAGTTATCTGGCCGCTCTTATCCCCCGCAGGGCCCGTGGAGGAAGAAGCGGTCTCTCGGACGATCGGTCCAGGCGTGGCTACTCCTGTTTCCCCTACATCTTTCTCTCTGTTGTGTTGTGTTGTGTTGTGTACATGGTTTAACTTGGTTTATTTTAACCGTGCTTATTGTGGCACCACAGTAATTGGTTTATGCTTCGACTGGCTATTTGTTTGTTCCGGTTTTTAATATTTATTAAAGACTGTACCAGAATTCCCTCCGCTCTGCATTTTAATGACGTTGCTCCTTGCACTTTGTATTGAATCTTGTTTTAGCTGTTTTTTACTTATTTGAGAGGACCCTTACCTCTTTTTAAAACAAAAAGGGTGGCGTTGTCGGTTTTTATTGTAATTTATTGCACTATTGCATTTTAAGTTATAAAGGGCCACACTGAAGCCGTGCTCTGTTCCAATCTTCACAGAGAAGAGCTATTTTACTAGTAAGACCCAATATAAAGGGCATATTGTGTGAAAGTGTGTGTTTGTCGTTTGATCTTGTGCCCTCCTCATCTGTCTCTGACTCAGTCCCCCCTTTCTAAGCAGAACTCTATCCTTCTCACCACCAAGATCACACGTCTTTCACATTCACTACTTTGATCTTGCATCATCTTTTAGACCACCCTCTGTGTAAACATAAATACATTCAATAGGATTTAGACCCACAGAAAAATAATACAGCTTCTGTTTGCAGGGCAACACCTGTATTGGGTTGGTGCCAGTTCAGCTCAATTCCTTTGCTTCAACATCATACATACTATGACGAAAATGGTATACACTATGTGAATTTAAAACTTTCCTGTGCTATGCAGCTCTACATTAGAGTAAAACGTGGGTGTCATCATACATACAGTATTCACACACATGGGTGTCTATATCTGTGTATACTAAATGTGTGATGAGCCATGTTGGCC